TGAAGCACAGCTTGGTGATTTTTGTAGTGTGAGGCTTTTGATGTTGCTGTTTTGTCCCTATAGAGGCCTTTTCTCAAAAATTGTCTTACAAAATTAAAGAAAATTTGTGCTAAGATTCACATAAAATATGCCACCTCAGTCTTTTTAAGTGTATAGTTAGTGGCATTCAGTACACTTACGTTGTTGTGTGCCCGTCACCACCATCTGTCTCTGGAACTTTTCACCTCCAGTGACCAAGACACAGTGCCCATTCAGTGCTGATCCCCACCTCTTGACCACCTGGGCCCTGGACACCCCTCTTTTTTTTTTTTTTTGTATTTTAGTACAGGGTATACAGGGTCTCACTACTAGATTGGACTCATAGTGGTTCTCCTATGTTCAGCCTCCCTTGAGCTGGGATTGCAGGTGCACCCCACCACACCTAGTCTCAATCGCCATCTCAGCGTGCCCCGGGGGTGGGGCTGCCATGGCACCGGGGATTGGACCCAGGCTGCTGAGCTGTGCCTAAGCAGGTGCTTTAGTCCACTGAGCTTTCTGGCTGGCTCCTGGACACCCCTCTTCTACTATTCATTTTTTTAAAAGATTGAGATAGGAAATTATTACCAAGTGTTCTTTGAGATGATCAGATAACTCACAAAGTTTAATTGGTTTTTATTATGATTTTTAAAACTCTGATGAAATGCTATTTTCTCCAGACTTCTTAATCTTACTGTGTATTCCAAAGTGAGGCCAACACAAGCTGTCCTCCTCCTACCAACTCTAAGTGTGTTATTTTTTCTGGATTTAAACAATAAAAATAAATACTGGAGAGGATTTCCATGGTGCATGGTCTCTTGCTGAGGATGGAAGGCAACAGGCATGCTAGTGTTTGTGTGGGCTTTGTGTTTCTGTTTCCATTGTTACATGATTATGTGGTAGTGCTGTGGCCGCTCGCCTTTCTTTTTCTTTTCCCCTTGCCCACACAAAATGTATTAGAATGGTGGATTCTAACATGGTTAGGGCCTCAACCTTGGCTGCTAAGATTCACCTGGTAAGAATCACCCTTGTTAAAATGTAAGCAACCAGGCATTTCACTCTAACCTAATCTAGATTAGGGCCCTAACACCATTCTAACTATGGGAAGCATTGGTATGATATATGCTGGTGAGTACTGTTTTGGTAATAATCTGGCCCTTCTGATTTCTTATGGTTTACTTGTTATCCTTTTAGGACATAGACACACGTGCGTGGCATGCACGCTCTCGTGCACATGCCGTCTTGTAGTTCTTGTTGAGTATTGCCGTCACCATTTCCCCAGGAGCACGTTTTGCTGCATTTTCTTTATGTGGAGATCTTAGCTTCTAACTGGATGTGTTAGTTGGTACTGCCAGGGTGGTCTAGCAAAGAGCTCGGGCTTTCTGCCCCCTCAGGTCTGGCTCCCAATCCTGATTGCCACTTACCGGGTTGGTATTCTTAGTCAAGTTGTATAACCTCCTGTAGATTTTTCACCGGTAAACTCAGATAGTAACATAACCCTATGGCTGAGGGTTGTTGAGACCAAATGAGATAATGTTTTCAAATCTCTCTTCTTGCCCTAAGATATATAAGGGAAAAGTTTCTCAGTCGTGGAAGGGAGTTGGCCAAGCAGTCATACTCTGTTTCTGTCACTTGTGTGGTCGCTGAGCGCTGGTTGGGAGCCAGCAAAACCTAACAAGCTATGAGTTTGGATCATTTAATTTTATGTGCTTTAAAAAAAAACCTGCTTTGGACCTTGACTGTTGACATTGCCTCTGCCTGACCTTTGAGCTGTTGCCATAGTTTCAGCTCAGGTACTAATGCACTCTTTGCTAACTTTAGTTTTCCTTTCTGTTAACTTTAATCGCTGTCCCCTGCACTATGTGTCTGGGTACTTCCATTCCAAATGTTTCAGTTTTGTTTCATGTTCCTTGTGACCGTGTGTACTGGTGTTTGGCATGATAGGGTGCGAAAGTCGTGGGTAGTCTTTTCTGTAGCCATTAATATTACGTCAGCCACAGTTCCCCAGAGAATCCCACCTACTGTGGGCTAGTGTGTTAATACAGTGTCTGCCTTGAAAGATATTTTGGGGTTATGTATCCTCCAAAAGAACTCTTCTGTTCAATTTTAATGTTAAGCAAGCTTAGGCTTTGAATGTGAGTGGAGCTGCTGTATGAACCTAGGTCCACATGGGTACCTACATACACATAAATGCTCATATATGTACACATGCATATATGTGTGGACATATGCGTATTTTGTCTAAGGAGAACACTTTGAAGCTGGGTGCTATAAGAGGGATGAGAGTGAACATTAATTTTAACCAAAATAGTTTTGTATTATAACAAATGGCTATTTTAAGATAGCTTTAACTCTATGTTTTTAGCACAGGGTCAGGGTATTCACTGTGTCTTAGTGGCTTGCGCTTTGTGACTTTACTTTGAACTTCATTTTATAGCTTTCTCTTGGTTTTATACAGTATTTTTGAATTTAAAATTTATGCTGTCTTGTATTTTCAGTTCTTGGGTGTCTTTGATCATGTATGAATTCAAAAGTGGGTGATAAATACACGATTTTAAAAATCTATGCTTGAGTCATTAGAAAGATTACGTTAAGTAGAATAATTTAAAATAGAGAGTGGCTTCAAGAATTATATTTTATGATTTGGAAAAGTTTTATAAACTAGGGAAATGAGAGTACTCAATGTTCAGCTGTCTAGAATACAGTACAAAAATATGGCTGTGGCCTTGGGCACACTTATGATTCAGTCTGATGGTGGGTTAGTCAGATAGCAGTGAGATTTTCTGCTGGCCTATCCCAAAAAGAAGATGTTATATGGAAATGAAATCTTTAGAATTAAAATAAGCATCTTCTGTGTGGAAAAACGGCTGTGATGTGGGCAGGTTGTACTATCCAGTGACCAAAGGGAGAGGGGCAGGGGACCCGCGTGGCCTATTCGGAGCTCTGGGCACACGGAGGAGAGGCAGTGGAGGGCCTGAGGCACCGGCAAGGAGGGGCAGGCGGCCAAGGAATGCTAAGGCTTTCATGCTGTTGCTTTTTGACAGTTTTTAATTACCCCTTTCCATTTTTATTTAACTAATCTTCGTACAGCCTTTTAATGTAAAGAGCCTCAATCTCTGTTCCTCTAAAGCGTTAAAGATCAGAGTGAAGGAACAGACTTACTGCAGCTCATTGTATGGCTCAGCTGCTTTTGTGCTGAAATGGCGATGTCATTCTGAAGGAAGTTTTGGGCTTTATCCTGTTGGTCGAAAAAACTTGATTCTTCAATGACTTTATTCATTCCCTCCGAGATTACTCAGTGTTTACTCCCTATGCTAATGGTAGGGTTCTCATACAACATGCTCCTTCTTGTTCGAGATTTGGCACATTCAGAAAGCTTGGTTTTTATTTCTCTAAAATGTGTGAACTTTAGGGAAACAGAATACTTTTTTAATGAAAGAACTTTATTTTTGTCTGTAGACTGTGAGGCACCCCTGCTTTGTCACCTTTATGATGTCAGATTCCTGACGATTCAGTGTGAATTGAAAATACTCTTTTTGGAGGTCTTTCATTTAACGCTATTGTTTCCAGTAGATCCACTGTTCTTGTAAGATCAGTGTTGATGTTGGTGGCATATGAACATCGTTCAGAGTTTTCCTGGAATATAAGCGTGGAGACAGTGATGGAAACCTTTCCAGGTTTTGAGCACTTCTAAGTATTATAAAAGTATTAAGTAGGTGTTTTTGGAAGTTTGCCCTCTCACCAGATAAAAATAAGAATAAAAACTGCTGTTTAACATTCTACATGACTGTAGTTTTCCAAGCGTCTCTCACATAAATGGTGTTAGTGTTCAGATTACTTTGCATCCTGCACTACTTCCAAGGCCTCCCGCTCTTTCTGTCGTTCCCCAAAAGGTTGTTTTGAGCCAGGCAGAGAGCCTGTGGGGACTGTGGATAGCTGTCATTCAGGAGCCTCACTCAGTGAGTTTAGGGCTGAGTGCTACTCTTTCTGTGGTTTTCACACTTGTACTGGGTTAGCTTTGTGTGGCGTTTCCAACTGCCACGTTTTGTCACTTTCTGTGAGGAGTGTTTCACAAGCAGTTCCTCAATCAGGGAGACAGGGCCAGCTTCAGGTGCCCCTCCAGTTCACAGCACCATATGAGTTTTACAGATCAGAAAAAGATGAAGTGCTATGTGTGTGAGTGCGTGTGCGTGCATGTGTGCATGCATGTGTGCATGCTTGCGCCTATGAGCAGGGGTGTATACATAAGTGAGCATGCATGTGAGAGTACATGTGTACTTAGGAGGCACGCTCTTGTTTATTCTAGTCATCCATTTATCATTCAGATTACCAACTAACCAGTCTGCTTACCAGCTTTCCAGAGACAGTATCTAGTGTGTGTATACTTCTCGGTAGGAGGATAGTTGGCTAGTTGAGAGAAACAAGATGTGCGTGTGTACCAAACCGTGATTGAGCAGGCCAAGGAGGGATGGGGGTATGTCCTACGTGCCACATTAGTGATTAGATAGGAGTGTAAGGCACTTGGAAAACAGAGAACGGGGGTGGGGCATCAGGGAGAGCTCCGTGCACGAGGAGCCAGGCGACCTGTGCTAGAACAGTGACCCTGAGGGTGGGAGGGAGCACTGACGGAGGGCGTCCTGCGGCCTCGTGGGGCCTGCTGTGGAGCAGAGCAGGCGCGCTCGGTGTTCGGGAGGAAGGCTGGGACTTCAGTTGGTTCCGTGGGGGCTGTGCTTCCTCTGTATGCGGGGGAAGAGGCATTTATGGACTTGGTTGAAAGTTACGTTTATGCTTTCCTGGCTGCATTTGTTGCCAGCACTGCTCTCTGTTCCTGAGAGCAGTAAATGATATTAACTATGTTAAGAAAATTTGTGCATTAGCACAGGCTTGTTGTTAATATTTGCGGGAGCTGTTTCATAGACGTACGTGTAATGATAAGGTTGAATTGGCATGTGAAAAAATGTCATTAACTCTGAATTTTTTCCTAGGCCGGACCTGATAGACATGAATACTGTTGCTGTTCAAAGCAACCTTGCAAATTTAGAGCATGCTTTTTATGTAGCAGAAAAAATTGGTGTTATAAGACTTCTGGACCCTGAAGGTAAGTTTTTCTTGTCTAAGTAGGGACTGGATAAAAAGTCTGAAAGGAAAGTAACCTGCCAACGTCGTGAAATAATTTATGTTGCTGGTTTTAGATGTTGATGTCTCCTCCCCTGATGAAAAATCAGTTATAACTTATGTGTCATCTCTCTATGATGCATTTCCCAAAGTCCCTGAGGGTGGCGAAGGCATCGGTGCAAATGTGAGTATTGGTTTTTCTGTACTAGAAGTTACTGATTTTGTGATGTTGTCTGTCTGTCCGTCCATCTGTCCGTCCATCTATCTATCTCTCTGTCTCTCTGTCTATCTATCTATCTATCTATCTATCTATCTATCTATCTATCTATCTGTCAATCACTGGGGATTGAACCCAGGAACTTGTGCATGCAAGTCTACTACTGAGCCACGTCTCTAACCCTTTTATTTTTTAGGTAAGTGTTTACTAAATTGTCCAGGCTGGGCTCCAACTTGTGCTCCCCCTATTTCCTGCAGGAACTCTTGAGAAGCTGGGGTCATAGGTGTGTGCCACCATTTTAAAGATTTTGACAGTATTCTGGGAAGCAGACACAGGAGAATCAAATGTTTGAGCCCAAGGTGGCCAACTTAGACCCTATCTCAGAATGAAAATTATCTGGGGAAGTGGCTCAGTGCAAATACTGTATGCTAAGGTATACAGTATTTGCACTGTACAGATATACAGTATCCTTCAGACTGGATGTCAGTTGTCAGTTTGTACGCCAGGGTGGTCCAGCAAAGAGCTCTGGCTTTCTGCTCTATCAAACCTGGCTGCTGATCCTGAGTGCCACTTACCAGGTTGGTATTCTTGTTCAAGTTGTATAACCTCCTGTAGATTTTTCACCTAAACTCAGGAAAATAACATAATGCTCAATCATTAGCACTACTTACAACAATAATTTGAGTTAATGTGTTATGTATTTATTTATTTTCTGTATTTAGTACAGGGTCTACAGGGTCTCACTATGTAGATCAGACTCGTAGTGATCCTCCTGTTTTCAGCCTCCCAAGTGCTGGGAGTACAGGCGCGCGCCGCCACGCCCAGTCTCAATCACCTTCTCAGTGCGCCCTGCAGGCAGGGCCGGCATGGAACATTAATGTACTTCTTAATAAACACATATTACACGCATTTCATGATAGTGTTTTTCTTTCTGTGGGAAGTGGGGTCCTTGACTTGAGCCATCCCTCACCCCTGTGTCCAGCATGCTTTTTATGAAAGAATTCAGTCAAGACACATAGGCAGCCATGTAGAAGTCTAGGTAGGATTTGTCCTAGAGCAGAAAGGGAGAGATTTTTACCTTCGGAGGAGGTGGGCCATGTCCTGAAGGTGCCTAAGATCCTATGCTGTAAATTGACAGGCCTGTGTTTTTCTAATTTAAATGAGGAAGGTCATTGGATCTGGCCCTGTTAACAGAACCAGTTCGCGGACACACAGGTTTGGGTATTGGGCATTTATCAGATCACTGTTTCTCAAAAGTTTGTCTAGGCGCTGGTGAGATGGCTCAGTGGTCTAAAGCACCTACTTAGAACAGGCTTAGCAAAGCAAAGGGACTGTGGTTCAATCCCCCAGCACCACATGTCAGCCAACCCCGCCCCCTGGTGGGCTGAGCTGGCCACACACACACACACACACACACACACACACACACATAAAATTTAAAAAAAACAAAAACAAAAGTTTGTCTAATTTAATTCAGTTGTCCATTTTGCAGTGGTCTTGCTGACACGTGGATATGTTCGTTTGTGTCACACATGTGGAGAGGTCCCCTGACCTGGCCTTTGCTCCTTTCCTCACAGGTGCCTTTATTGCTGCATGACTTTGACATTTGGGAGCCCTTTCTGGTGTCTTTCTCATCCCTCTATGTTGTTTCTAGACTTAGTTTAATTCTCCTCCTCCTCGGTCCTGTACCTTTGACCCTGGGCAGCGTGTGCTGACACATAGCCTGCCAGGATTGCCCTTTGATCCTGGATGTTGCTTCCTTTTCTTGTTTCTCACAGGACCTCCACTTTACTTCTGCCTCTTACTCCTCCACATTGGACCTAGCGTGACAGGTGTGGCTTTCCAGTCCTTGGCCCCTGGGGCCCATCACTTCTGCATTTTATTGCTTAATCTGTCTTCCTAACACCTATGTATTTAGCTTAAAAATTTACAGTGGCGATACATTCCTTGGTGGTTAAATGGAACATAGATGTCAACTCAAATACATTAATTGTTCTTGCCTACATTTTGTCAGTGTTTTCTTAAAATGTGCCATTTATTAAGAGCCAAGTATTTCCATGTCAGAGCCGATCTCATTTGCTCTGTCTCCTCTCTCCATGTCCCCTACTACACCCCAAACCGAAGAACCACTGGTCCCATTGTAGAGCTTTTCTTCCCTAAGAAATCCTTGTGGTCATTTGCAGGCGAGTGCGTCCCAGCCTGATTATTGTCTTTCTGACACACTACTTTCAGCTTCAGTTCTTTCAGTGTGCGCACAATGCTTTTCGTTTTGCTTGTCTGCTTATACTGTATCTTTCCTGTCTCCTCATCTAGGTAGCAACCCCTTGACAACAGGTACGATGTCTTCAGGTTTTACTTTTTAATACAACACTGAGAGCACAATATACATTCCTAATAAAGATTCGCCAAATGCTTAGTTGAATATAGCAGTTGACAGTGCCTTTTCCTTTCCTTTTTAAAAAGTTTGCTGAATGAGTACTTGAGGAACGCCACCACGTCCCAGTTCATTCCTGTCTGGGTTCCTACGTGTTGTACAACTCTTCTGAGTGTCAGCTCCTCAGTGGACTTTGAGCTTGCGTGGTTGGCATGGATGACGGGGCTGTCTTATGCCTGCTGCTGACTCCTCCTTCTTGCGCCCTGGAAGGCACCTCAGGTTGATCCTGGCGCTGGTTTTTACTGTTGTCTTGGATGCAGGCACAGCAGCCTGCCCCGTGCAGTGTCCGTGGTAGCCATTATCTTTGCATCAGAATATCAGTGGCCCAACGTCGGTACTGTGTTTTTAAAGCTGTTTATATGGAGAGGATTGTGGCTGAGTAGAAAGAGACCATTTCGCTGATTCTCCCTGTCAAGCTTCTACATAAGAAAAATTCGTGTTATGACTTCTGAACAAATTGTGTGAGATGTAAATGTTGTTATCTGTAAACACAACCTGTATCATTTTAAGGGCCAGCCAGATAGTTCAGGGTATTAAAGGACCTGCGTAGGCAGATGCAGGGGTTGGGGATTTGATCTCTGGTGTGTTGTGGCAGTGCCGCCCCCGGGGCTTGCTGAGACAGTGATTGAGACTGGGCGTGGTGGTGCATGCCTGTAATCCCAGTGCTTGGGAGGCTGAAAAACAGGAGGATTGCTGCAAGTCTGATCTGTGCAATGAGACTATACTAAATACATAAAACAAATAACAAAACAAACAAAAAACTGTCCTTTTATTCCTTCAGGATGTTGAAGTGAAATGGATTGAATACCAGAATATGGTGAACTACCTCATCCAGTGGATTAGACATCACGTGACTACAATGTCTGAGAGAACATTTCCTAATAATCCTGTAGAACTAAAGGTTGGTATCATAGAAGTTAGCCAGGATTGATTGATAAAACACTTTTAACTAAGTGATAATTCCATAATTTTAGGCATTCAAGAAGAGTTATTACTGACAAGTCATGAATAAGCAGGCAAATTTTTAATTTACTTATTTCCCTATTATACAGAGAAAATATAAATTAAGTATTAATAATTAAAGCATAATAGAAATAGCATCTTTAAAGGATTGATAGTCTATATATGTTTTAAGATTTTTTTTTTTTTTTTGCGGAAGTGGGGATTGAATGCAGGCCTTTGCGCTTGCCAGGAAAGCACTTACTCTACTGAGCCATCTCCCCGGCCCTTAAGCTACATTTGTTGAGAATTAAAAAGTGTGGGACTCACATTGCCACATTGTGTTTGGTGGTAGGAAGTACTTGGAGCCTACGACTGCGAGGAGGAGCCGTGGGGAGCCCGCAAACAGGCCCAGTGATAGGGAGCACGCTGGCTCAAGTGTGTTACGTGCTGCTTCCGGGGCCTCTCCTGTGGAGCAACAGATGTGTTCTGAATTGTATCACGCAGATTCAGAATTGCCGTTGATGAGGCTAGTGTCCGTGGGCCGATGGTTTAGCCAAACATTCATTAATACCAAAAAACTTAGGTCAGACTCTGAGGCAAGATGTTGTAGCAATATAAAGGTGTAGATATATAAACTTAGCAGAGTAGTAAGCTGACCCATTCTGTGCATATGGGTTTGAAAAATAGAGCAAAGCACTCTTTTTAAAAATTGATAATTAAATATTGACTGCAAAGCTGCAGTTCCTTGGCTTTCAAACTTTGTTTTCATGTTTGAGTGGGAATCATGAAAATTATAATAACCCAAGGTGGGCCCTGTGAAATTATTCCCTCTGCTCATGCATGTGACAGAACATCTGGAGCCTGGCTTGTCCTCACGTGGCCACAGGGAGTGTGTCCTTGGCAGATGGTCACTTGGCATTTGTCAGTGAGATGCATTTTTAAAGTGTCTTAGTGTTGTTTGTATGATGTCTGCCTGTATGAATACCAGCTTCCCCGGGCAGAAGTCCTTCCCTTCTCCCATCACGGTGCTGCAAACATTGGGTGCCGTGTGATGACGCTGAGTGTGTAACGTCCAACAGATGTCTGAAAGGACGACAATTTCAGTTGAAAACAGATTTTACTTTCAAATGCATTTATTTCCAGATATATTCCTGTTGTCTAGACCTTGAATGAATTTGTACCTGCCTCTGAGAAGTGCAGATTCTGATAAATTTGTCGAAGAAGTTCAAGTAACTGTGCAGCTTTATTTAGTAGTGTCTAGAGTAGAGTAGGACACAGTGCAGGAAAGAAAACGTTTTAACCAGACAGCCATTGAATACAATTCTACAAAAATGTGTCCTCCTGAAGATTTGTAGGGACTTGTTTTAATGCAGCTTCAATTAAAGAGTTAGCATACTTATTAAATGAGAAAATAAAACAAAAAAAGAGAAAACATTTTATCTATATAATTTTTGTGAAAATCTTTCTACCAACTACAATAAATAAAAGGCTTGTAAATCAATCTGTACATTCAATTAGTATCAACCATGTGATTGAGACTTCTCTATTAATAGGCCCATCAACTAACAGTGTCTTTCTTCATTTATTGAAGAAAAGCTGTTTACACTGACCAATGGGAAATCGAAACTAAATTTTAACCCTGTTTAGCTAAGAATTCTGTTTCCAAGGATAGAACATTAAATAGAAAATTTTTTCTTTTCTTTTTGGGAATTGCATCAAATCACTTTTCCAAAAACTGAAAGCTAAGGTCCAGCATTTAAAAAATTATCTTTCTTGTTTTGTTCGATGCTGAGAGACTTTTATAAAACCCTAGAAGGTTGTCTTGGCCATTGTTTTTCAGATTCTAGAGGGTACACGTTGAAATATGGCTCACATCAATAATTACATCCCCGTCAACTCCTCTGTAACGGTGGTCACCATTTGCTGGGGAATTGGTATTATCCGCAAGTGTTAATTTTATAAAGGAGTTCCCACTGCATGTTACACAGTAAATAGCACTTGTAACAGTGAAAAATGAGACGTTGAAAGCATCTCTTTGAAGTTTGACCCTTAATTTATTTTCTCTTTCACTTAGGCACTTTATAATCAGTATTTACAGTTTAAAGAAACAGAAATCCCACCAAAAGAGACAGAAAAATCAAAAATTAAACGCCTCTATAAACTATTAGAGGTAAGTGGAAATTTCCCTCACATTATCAAGCATGTCTTTAACTTTTTAGTTCTTTGCCTCACATTCACAGTTTTGTTTTTTTTTTTTTCTTAAGATTTGGATAGAATTTGGGCGCATCAAACTGCTCCAAGGCTATCACCCAAATGACCTGGAGAAGGAGTGGGGGAAGCTGATTGTTGCCATGCTGGAGCGAGAGAAGGCGCTGCGTCCTGAGGTGGAGAGGTAGGCGGGGGCTCAGAACCCTGCGGCCCGTGGGGGGAGCCCAAGTTCTCTGGGAAAGAACTTGAGTTTTAGGCCCAGGCTGATGGAGGACCAGTGTTAATTTTGTTCATTTATTTGGTGTGTACCCTTGGATAAGGAAGCTCATCTTTCTGACCCTCCATTTTCTTATGTAGAAGCACTCCTGAGAAGGTAAAAGGAGTAAAGCAATGAAAGTATTAGTAGAGTGGGTCTGGTAGGCTGGAACAGTGTGTAAAGTCTCCTTTAATAAGTATTCACAATTTCTGGGATTTTGACTTTGGTGTTTGATATTGGCAGTCCAACTCAGGGGTCCTTTACCACCAAAGTACACCTCCAGCCCCTCGTGCCCTTCTTCTTCCCTTTGTTATTTTGAGAAAGGTTCTTGCTACGGTTCCTAGGTGGGAATTGAATGTGGCGATCTTCAGCTTCAGCCTCTTTTAGTACTGGGTTTACTGTACCTGGTTAATGTAGTTTATAACCAGAGTTACCTATAAGAATTCTTTTTTTTTTTTTGCGGTACCAGGGATCGAACTCGGGACTTTGTGCTTGCCAGGCAAGTGCCCATAAGAATTCCTTTTTTTTTTTTTTTTTTTCCTGTAAGAATTCTTAAACTCTTCTTTAAATCACTAGATCTGGAAGCCTATAGTTTAGCGGTCAACTTTTTTGTTCCTTGTTACAGTATCTTCAACCTTGGGCTTCTTTTTCCCTGGGCAGTGGAAACCAGATTCTAGCCTGCCCCATGTGAAAGCATCTGGGTCATGTTGAGAAAACATACAGTCAGTGCTGGCTGAGCTTCCCTGTCTGCCAAGCACCTGCAGATGCATTCATGTCATGAAGTCGTCACTGGCTCCACATTGTTCCATCCGCACTGTGCTGTACTCTTTCCCAGAGAAGGGGTGGATTTGCCTTTGGGAAACGAGATGGTGGTGGTGGTGGCATTGGTGGTGGTGGCAGTGGTGATGGTGGTGCTGTGATTTGGTGGTGCTGGGGGCTGGACTCCAGGGCCTGGCACTTCTTAGGCAAGTGACTAGCCTTCGAGTTGTACCTGCTGCCATGCCGGGTTGATCTGTTTCTGTCCTGTCCTTGAGCCTGAGGCACAGATGCTGTGATCTGCTCCTTCGGCTGTGCAGCCAGGACCTATGTGTGTGGCATGCCTGTTGGCTTCCAGGCTCTCTGTGGGGGCGTGTGTGTGCTAAGGGCTGCCCTCCTCCATCCCTGGGTGTGTGTGGTCCCACACTGGCAGGGCTGTGCAGTCATCCTTGCGTCTCTTACTCCTGATCACACGCGGAGCCCAGCTCTTCCTGGGGAAACTCGATGTCTCCTGGGCTGGCTCACCTGTCTTACCGCTCTCATATTTTATGTGCTTTGTTCCTTTAGAGCAACTTGTCTTAGTTGAAATTTTGTATTTGTTTTTGTTTGATTAAGGGTTGCTTGTTTTTCATATACAAGTTCCAAGAGTGGAGACACACTTTGTTTTTCCTCTCCCTTGTGGTGGAAACGCTTTACACAGTGCTGGCCCCTGGTAGAGAGGCTTCGTACAGTCCTGTGGCTGGTGTCTCACACACTGACTTCAGCGCTGCTAGAATATGAAATAACACAGTGAAGACATGAGGGCTCATCAGGTTTTTTTTTTTTTTAATTAAATTACTGATTGCTTGCTGGTTAAAGCACAAGATTGTGTTTTTATAACTGGATCATTGGAATTGAAAAAGCCTGAAACTCACAGATTTAGGTTTTTATGGAGCCAGTAAATGGGTGATTGAAATGAGATACTAAGCTAATCAAGTAAAGGAAAAGGACTCCAAAGTAAAAAGACGAAGAGTAGAGTTTTAGGGGTCAGAGTAGTAGAAGAATTTAATATACGTGTCTGAATCCACTTTGTGTTGTGTTGCTATAATAGAATATAGTACTGCACACTGAGTAATTTAAAAAGAAGAGACATTGGCCAGGCCAGACAGGGCGTGTCCCCAGAAACCCAGCTCTGCAAGCAGGTGAGGCAGGAGGATCACATGTTTGCATCCCTGTCTCAGTGTAGCAATGGCTGATGATACATAGCTCGGTGCCTGAGTTCACTCCCCACTAGTACTAGAAAGAAAGTATTAGCCAAGTGTGGTGGCCTGTGCCTTAGAATTCTGGCACTCTTGGGAAGTGAGGCAGCGGCCACAAGTTTGAGCCCAACCTGGGTGACGGAGTGAAATCCTGTCTCAAAATAAAAATAAAGAGAGCTGAAGATATAGCTGCACATTAAGGCCCTGGGTTCAGTCCTTCACATGCATGCACGTGCACACGTGTGCGCACACACACACACATACACACACTCGCTGTCACACACACACACACACACACACACACACACATCCAAAGAAAATTTTTCTCGCAGTTCAGGAGACCGAGGAGCACAGTATGGTGCTTGTATCTGTTGAAGACCACTGTGCCGGTGGAGATGGAAAGGCAGAGAAGGTAAGGAGAGACACAGGGCCAGTACACGTGCATGCCTTTCTGGGAGAGCAGGCAGCCCCACCGGCAGAGCCCTGCCTTCTTAGCTGGCTGAGCCACTTCAGCCCTGGCAACATCAGCCTGTAAGGGCAGAGCCGTGATGGTCACACCTTTCCACACCACGCTGTGGAGATTAACTCACCAACACGTGCACTTCAGAGACTTTCAAGTCACAGGACAACATTCTGTCTAGTGACAATTTGGCAGTAAGCATTAGAGTGTTCTATTTATGTTAAAATGTGGATAAGAGTTCAGGACTCAGGCGCCTGCCACTGAATCCTGGATTGTAATTATTTCCTCAGCCTACAAATTGTGTGATCTTACAATTCACAAGTTTTCTGATGTCTAACCCTCATCTTCCTCATTTGGACACAGAATGTAATAGGACCTGTCATGTTTGGTGGTAAACTGTTTCAGATGAAGTAATTGTGTGTAAAATGATTAGCTCATTTCCTGGTACATAGTAATTGCTTTATGAATGTTAGCTATTGTTATTTATTGCATTTAAAAAAAATAGTTGCACTTAAAATATTTGAGATAGCACTCTCAAATTTCTCCTTTCCTTATGAAAAGAAAAATAGCTTGCCCTCAGAGTAGAGAAACGACAGTCTGGCTCTGTAGTGCTGCTGGTAGGAAAATATTGCCGAGTGTGGTTGGATAAATGGCTTCACTTCTCTTGACACAACATGTTTTTTGGCATTGATTGTGCCCCACAGATAATAGCTAGACAGCGTGGTGTTTGTAAGGACAAATGGGAAGCGCCGCTCTCCTGTGCCTTGTAATGACTTGTCAAAAGGAGAAAAAAGCGAAAATTAACTTTGCAACTATCACATTAGTATTTTGTTTAGCATTTGGGCTTTTAGAAATATGAAACGACTGTAGTACTTAGACAACATTATTGAAAGCATGTCACATAAAAGGAAGCCCGACGTGGTGGCGTGTTCCTGTAAATCCCAGCACTTTGGGTGGCTGTGGCAGGAGGATTGCAAGTTTGAGCTGAACCTTGGGACCGTGGTGAGTTAGAAAAACCCTGTCTTGAAATGGAGAAATTTTGAAAAGGTCTGGGGTTGGGGCTCAGTGAGAAGGCCCTGAATTCTAGCCCTAGTGTGCCTTGTCTCACAGAAGGTAAATGAATACGCTTCTAGTGAATTTGGTCTTATGAACAAGTGGCATAAACGGAAATCTTGTTTGTTTCTCTTGTTTGTGGGTGCTTGATGATTTCCAGCTCCTTGCCTTGCATTATCCAGCTCAGACTCGGCCTTTGCAAGAGCAGACTGATCAGATATTTGTGTCTTCTCGTGGGTGCTTACTGTTGTCAGCAAGACCTTCACTAGTGGACCCTGGGTTTCTGGGATCTGGGTTGTTTTTTAGGTGTTTGCAGCTATGACTCTTGGTGAAAATATTTGGCACATCTTTCCAGCGACGCCCCACTCCACCTGCCTTGTCTGTACTTGCAAGGCTTTAATACAAGCTGCAAAAGGCAAACCTCAGCGAGCAAACGAATGGCTTTAGGCGAGATTCTTTGGAACAGTTATCAGCGTATCATGTGCTGTGTTGCATATGCATGTTGGAACGTATTTAAGGAACCACTAGGTTGTAATATTCAGTTGCCACTTTTCACAGTTGGAGGTAGAAGTAGCTTTTCCTACTTCTTAGTTAGCTTTTAATGGTCGAAGAACGTCATTTCAGGACTAAAAATGCATAGTAGTAGTTATAGTTACCGTAGCAGTGATTCTGTTTTTAGTAACACTACTAGCACTCGAACTAGTCTTGATTCAAATGAAAATTTCCTCTCCGTTCATTGTGGTCCAACACTGATCAATTCCTGCATCAGCTTCGGCAATGAACCCTTCGAAGGACACAGGTGCCGGCTCACTCATATGGCTTTGGGATGGCAGTATTTTTCAGGGAAGTGCAGTGTTTTATTTTCTCTTCCTTTCCCCCCCTTCTTTCAGGTTGGAAATGCTGCAGCAGATTGCCAGCCGTGTCCAGAGGGACAGTGTCATCTGCGAGGACAAACTGATGCTTGCCCGAAACGCTCTCCAGTCCGTACGTTTGGTGTGGGAGCCACTGGGCTGCTGGAGGGACTCAGTGCGTGCTTGCACGGACTGAAACTTTTGAATAACATTCGGTTGGTTCTTGGGATATTTGCTCTGCAGAAGAAACTTAATTTATTAGTAATGAACTGATATTTGTTCTCTAGAAGACCAGTGAGAAAGGGAAAACTTATTTTTAAACTAAAAAGTAAAACAAAAAAGCTTAAGCAGGATTCGTCCTAAAAGTTGGAGTTTTGAATTTAAGGCTAATTCTGACACTTTTTTCATAGATGTAATATTGAGTTCTTTTAAATGCAGGATTCCAAAAGATTGGAATCAGGAGTGCAATTTCAGAATGAAGCAGAGATTGCTGGGTACATACTCGAATGTGAGAACCTTTTACGCCAGCATGTCATTGATGTCCAGATCCTTATCGACGGAAAATACTACCAGGCAGATCAGCTGGTGCAGAGGTAAGAGTGCTGTCTCGGCTCACCCTGTCCGAGTATTTTATGGGCACTTGGGATTGGAATGTGGAATATTTGTGTGAAATACGTTTCTTAGTTCTTTTTAGATGAAATGTGTGGTCCTTTCTTTAAAATTAGTAGTAGAGAAAGCATTTTATGCTGCATGCAGTAATTACTGAGGTTGTAACTGAAGTATTCATTGAAGGAAGATTTTTGTCGCCTATGTGCTGTCTACATAGGTGAGGCTGAGGAAGCTGTGGCCCAGCCCAGACTTGATGTGCACAAGGCCCGTGTTCAGGCCCAGCGGCACGCGATGGAATGAGTGAAAGAACCGAAGCATGAATGAATGTCCTAATTGTCATTTGAGAAAATTGCCACTTTAATTCCATTTTTTTAGTTACAAAACTGTTCATAATAAAATGTTGGAGAAAATGTGTCTAAACACATGTCTCTAAGAAGTGGGTTTGAGGTTAGGACTAGGAAATATATCGCAGCCTGAAAGTTTCTATTTGTGTTTGGATAGATAGATAGATAGATAGATAGATAGATAGATAGATATGTTTATCGATAAGCAAAATTTATGGATTTTGCTGGACCCAATAATTTACTTAGAAGTGTACAGTAAATCTAAATATGGATGCTAACATTTAAACAGAAAAAACTTTTATGTTCATGCTAGAAATACAATAGAAGTTTGGAATTGTACTGAATGTCAAATAGTAGGAGAATGAGCACATTACTGTCCTTTTAAATGATAAAGACTAGTGTGGAAAGTGCTCATAGTACAACAGTCAGTAAAAAAAAAATTGGCATGTGAAATTTTTCCAGTATGATTATGATGACTGTAAAAAATAGGCTTTTCTGAGTGTTTCGCATAAATTAAATGTAGAGCCCTTATATACCCCTTTGCCCTCACCCTTTCTGTATTATAAATCCTGCATTAGCAATACATTTGTTATCAAAGAAAGTCCACCGGTGACGTTCGGGTTCACCCTTTGTGACAAGTGCCTTTTATTCTCTGCCTTACCTAAGCCTTTTGATTTTCTTTTCAGGGTTGCAAAGCTGCGTGATGAGATTATGGCCTTAAGGAACGAGTGCTCCGCCGTGTACAGCAAGGGACGCATGCTGACGGCAGAGCAGACGAAGCTCATGATATCAGGGATTTCGCAAAGTTTGAACTCAGGGTTTGCACAGACCTTAACCCCCACTCTGAACTCAGGGCTGACCCAGGGTTTAACACCTTCCCTGACCTCGTCCAGTGTGACCTCTGGCCTGTCATCCGGACTGACTTCTCGCCTGACTCCGTCTGTCACTCCAGCTTACACACCTGGCTTCCCATCAGGATTCGTTCCAAACTTTGGTCCAGGGTTAGAGCCGAGCTCTTTGCAGTCTCTGAAATTGATGCAGATTCGGAAACCCCTTCTAAAATCATCTTTGCTGGATCAGAACTTAACAGAAGAGGAGGTCAACATGAAATTTGTTCAGGATCTTTTGAATTGGGTTGATGAGATGCAGGTAAAAAAAAGTTTTTACTTGAGTATTTCAGCCTTTTTAAAAAAAAATTTTTTTGTACTAGAGAGCAAACTCAGAAACTCAGGACTTTGTGCTTGGCAGACAAGCACTTATCCGAGCATGTTAGTCTTTATTGCTGTCAATTTTTTTTTTCTTTTTTTTCCGGAACCGGGGATTGAACTCAGGCCCTTGCGCTTGCCAGGCAAGTGCTTATTCTACTGAGCCATCTCCCCGGCCCCTGCTGTCAATTTTTTTTTAAACCTAGTATTTTTGTATTGAAGGTGCAGCTTGATCATACTGAATGGGGCTCAGATTTACCAAGTGTTGAAAGCCATTTAGAAAATCATAAAAATGTTCACCGAGCTATAGAAGAATTTGAATCTAGCCTTAAAGAAGCCAAGATCAGTGAGGTATGTGAATGTGGAATTTTTATCCATTTCATTGGTTTGCTTTTTACATGAAAACCTTGTATTGTAACTCAATAACAGATGTCCAAGCGTAAGGATTAAGATCCTTAAACTTGATGTTTTTTATTCTGTATTATAGATTCAAATGACTGCACCTCTTAAGCTAATTTATGCAGAAAAGCTGCACAGATTAGAGAGCCAGTATGCAAAACTCTTGGTAAGTTTTTCTGTTCTTTGTTTTTAAGCTTTTTGTTTGCTTTTTGAATGAAGGTATGATTAACAATTTTCTTTATAAAGAATACATCCAGGAATCAGGAACGGCACCTTGACACACTCCATAACTTTGTAACTCGTGCAACTAACGAACTTATTTGGTTGAATGAAAAAGAAGAGGAGGAAGTTGCTTATGACTGGAGTGAGAGAAATACTCACATAGCCCGGAAAAAAGATTACCACACTGTAAGTGCAGCCTTTGTGCCTGCCTGCTGAAGCTGTATTTCAGGGTTTGGGTTTTTTTCCTGACATACTCTTTAATTCTTTCTTAAATTAGGAATTAATGAGAGAACTTGAACAAAAGGAAGAAAATATTAAGTCAGTTCAGGAGATAGCAGAGCAGCTTCTTCTAGAAAATCACCCAGCCCGCTTAACTATTGAGGTGAGTTAGGAAGTGTAACAGTCTGGGTTGAATATTGATACATATGTGATTGTTACCCTTCTTTCATGGCTGATAAGTTGAAAAGTGCAAACTGCCACATTTTTTATTACAATATGGCTCAAAAATAATATTTGTGACAGATTGTGCTGGTTTTGCCATTCAATCTCTTGCTCTCTCCAAATGAGTCACCTAGCACTGTCACCGTTTTTGGCTAATGAAGTGGATTGTTGTAACTATGAAGGACTTGACTGTAAACTTTTAAATTTTATGTTAAAATTGCAGTAGTAGATACAATCTATCAAGCTTTATTTCCTTACCAAAAGTGGGGAAGAATGGCAATGAGAAGGCATAATTTGCTCTGACTACTTTAGTTCTTGGAACTTGATGAGTTCTCAAGAAATGTTATGATTTGATTTAGTACTTTCGTTTGTGACTGGGTTTTGCAAAGTCTGGGTACCTGGGGACAGAGCTGTGCTCATGGTGCGTGGTGAGCATGTCACAGCTGAGCACCCACTGGTGCTAGGTTTCTCAGGTTGCCCGGGCAGCTTGGCAGTGGTGATGTTATAACTTTTAGGGCTGATTTATTCTAGTCAGAGTTAATGATCACTGTTTCTGAAAGCGAGGAGACTTAACATTGTAGGGCGGGAAGGGTCACAGTGCCACACCTGGCAGAAATGTGCATGAAAGCTGATACACTTTGGACTCAAAATTGAGGGATGGAGTCATATAGTTTTTGTCCACTAAAATTGTTACAAAAAATATCAGGCTTCACTAGGAATGTCTTATAGAACGCTATATTTAACCTCTTTGATGTGATATACAACTCGTGTTGATAGGAAGTTCCACTTAAAATTTTTAAGACATGGGCTGGGGACATGGCTCGGTAGAATAAGCACTTGCCTGGCAAGTGCAAAGGCCTGAGTTCAATCCCCGGTTCCACAAAGAAAAAAAATTTAAAGACATAAAAGAGTAGGACCTCCACCTGGGGAAGGAAACAGGCTACTGCGTTGAGGGCATACTTTTGTTCAATAATGAACCATAAATGGAACATAACATACAGAGAAGAAAGCTGTTAGGAAATGAGATTCTGTGTTTTGATGGGAATGGAAAATGTGAAGGTGAATCTGATTACTGTCGTGTAGAAACAATGGGGAAAAATGAAGCCTTCGTCGCCCGATGCCTTTGGCCTCTCCAGTGCCCAGAACAGAGAGGCGGGTAGCGTGCAGTTATCAGCACTTTCCTGCTTTGTATGAAAAGCCGCCAGTGCAGCAGTGCACAGATGTGTCTTTTATGGCTGGTGTTCCTGGTGGAGGCGAAGGTGCGGGCAGGCCAGCGGCAGCCCTGGTTTAGCGCCTGCCTGCACCAGAAGGCAGCAAACCCAGAAGCCCTAATTTGATCAAGTGGATGATGTGAGCGGGCATGCTGGCCTGTGCTGCCCACCAACCGCTGAGAGGGCAGGCCTGAACACAGTCCTGCAGGAGCAGGAAGGAGGGAGTCGCAAAGGGAGGAGGGCCGCCAGGCTGGCCTGCGGGTAGGAGAGCCTCGAGCGCCATCTCCTGGAGGGCGGCGAATTGCACTGTGACCGTACAGGGTGTTGGGTGTTCACCAGGTAGATACCCAGTCTGTAGTACTTACTGCCCTCCAGGAAAGGTGTACTTGGTGTTAAATAAAAGTTCAAGTAAATAATTTTTAAATAACATCCATGTATTATGCGTAACATGATCTCAGAAGCACATTGACAAGAGGTGTGCACTGCCTTTTTTACTCCCTCTAGACCTGTCCTCAGCAAAAAACAAGGAAGAAAACTACAGAGCCATGTATTGCCATTAGAAGGCATCATGGAGTTTTAGTAGTATAAAAATTCAGAACCAGCTGTGGTGGTGTAGGCCTGTAATCGCAGTCCTCTGAGAGACAGAAGCAGAGGCAGGAGGACCACAGGGCTGTAGGCTGGGCTTTGTAGCCCAGTGAGCCCCTTGCCCAGCAATAGCAGTTAGCAAGGGCCAAGTGCTTAGCCAGCACAGTGGCCCTGGGGGCGATCCCCGGTGTCATCGACACACAAATAGGAGAGAGAAGGGTGTCGCCTCCTACGGGAAGGCCTATTTGAAGACTCCTCGGGGCAGGTTTGCACTTATATTGAATGTTAAATACTCTTTTCATGTAAAAGTAGCCAGAGTTATCTTTTTTCTTGTATATTAAGGAAAAACGTCAAGAGGTTTAAATTTGAGAGTTAATTGACTAGATTATTTTAAAAACTTACATATATACGTTAGAATTGGCTGTGGAAACAGGAGTTCTTAGATGAGGAGCAGCGTTTGGCTCCCTGGGTTCCAAGTTTCATTGAGTCAGAACAGGCCATCATCTGTTAGACAGTGAGGTGTTTATTGCTTAAATAGCATCAATATGCACATCTCCTTTTCTCACCTGTGTGCATTTCCTGGGCTGGCCGGGGCGCCAGGGCCTCGCACACACTGTGGCTGGCTGAGTGCTGGCCGTGGCACCAGGGCCTCGTGCGCACGGTGCAAGCGCTGTGCCCACTGCACCCGTCCCAGCGCGTGTCCTCTCAGCCGTCGTGGGGCTGTGCTTTCTCTTTCAGGCCTACAAAGCGGCAATGCAGACGCAGTGGAGCTGGGTCTTACAGCTGTGCCAGTGCGTGGAGCAGCACATAAAGGAGAACACCGCGTATTTGGAGGTGTGTGGGGAGAATCACCGCTGGGGTGGACGGCACCGGGCTTTTGACTAAGGAAATCCTTGCTAGTTGTTAGCCATACAGACGTGCATGTGGTACAGCTGGTGTCGTCTGCGTGCAGGGCACAAGGCTTGTGTTCATGTCGTGCAGGAGAGACGCAGCATACACACACGACAGAAACCCTTTTAAGGCCCCAACGTGGCAGACAGTGTTTTTATTCTGCAGACATATCCCCCGTTAAGGAAATGTCACTCATTGAAGACAGGCAACCAAGTCAACTCTTCCTTTCATTTTTCAGGAGATTTATGATCTCCTTAGATTCCACCCTACTTAAAAATTGATAGACCCTAAAGTAAAGTAGACCTTGCATCAAAATAATACAATTTTGATTGTTGGGCTCAGAGGAGGGGGACCCTTTCTATGTGTTTGCTTTTGTTCTCAGTTGTGAGTGCCACGTAGGGCCCAAGCACCTACACTGACAACTCCGAGCTCTCCAGGCACGTGGTGTAGTTTAATTACTACATTTTATTTTCTCTTAGTTTTTCAATGATGCCAAAGAAGCTGCTGATTACCTAAAGAATCTGAAAGACGCCATCCAGCGGAAGTACAGCTGTGACAGATCTAGCAGCATTCACAAACTGGAAGACCTTGTTCAGGAATCCATGGTATTAAGACAGAAGTCCTGTGTGTTTCGTTGCTCACACCTACTAACAGTGTTTAATTGTACTTTTGTATGTGCAGAATTTTGTATTTTATTGGCATTCGGTATTTCCACTTTATTCTAGTAAGCATTTAAACACTGTTTTAGCATTGATAATAAATACAACAAAGTACCTTAGTCATTGTTCATTTCGTAAATACTTGTTAGAATGGTTCTTTAGCGCAGGCACTGTGTTGGGCTGCAGAGATAAAGCAGTAAGCAGGACAGATAGCATCTGTGCCTTCGTGTGCTTGTGTGCTGGCGGGGAGCTGTGAGACACGTGACACGAGCAGAATATGTGATGTGCTCCTTCCTCATTGGCCGCTGGTAAAGAGGGAGAAGCCCCCAGTCCCTGTAAGGAGAGGGGAGGCCAGAGGCACTGAGAAAAATGGGAAGCTGAGGCCAGGTAGTCAGGGAGTGCTTCGCTGGCCAGGTTTCCTTGTGGCAGTCCAGAGGGAATGGAGAGTGCACGTCTTTCACTTTTCAAAATCCATTCTCTCTCTCACTAAGGAGGAGAAAGAAGAGCTTCTGCAGTACAAGAGCACAGTGGCAAGCCTGGTGGGGAGAGCCAAAAGCATAATTCAGCTCAAGCCAAGAAACCCTGACTGTCCACTCAAGACCTCGATCCCCATCACTGCGATCTGTGACTACAGACAGATCGAGGTACGTACAGGTCCTAAGACAGCAGTTCCTGTCAGTAGCCCTGTTTTGTTTTGGCTTTTTGAGATAAGGCCTTACTGGGTAGTTCAACCAGATCTTGAACTCATTGTGTAAACCAGTCTGGCCTTGAAATCATGGCCATTGTCCTGCCTCAGCCTCCTGAGTGCACCTCCACACCTGGCTTATTCATGTGTCTTTAAAACAATATCATAGTCCTTACTCATGGTAGAGTTTTTGCCCCCCATAAAAACAATCCTAAGATTGGGCATAGAAAGGTTTAGTTAATGGTGACCTCATTTGGTTGTTCTATTCTTCGTTTAAAACTAGATAACCATTTACAAAGACGACGAATGTGTTTTGGCCAACAACTCCCACCGCGCCAAATGGAAGGTCATTAGTCCCACTGGGAACGAGGCTATGGTTCCGTCGGTGTGCTTCACTGTTCCTCCACCAAACAAAGAAGCAGTTGACTTTGCGAATAGGTGTGTATGCATTTGGTGTTGACAACAGCTGGCTTGGAGGCTTTCTGAAGGTGAAAGATATGAGCGCTTGTGAAGGCTTTCTAGGACCAGGGCTGAGGCTGTTTTCAGAAGGAGCAGTGAAAAGATGTGCTTTCTCTTACGTGTTTCAGAATTGAGCAACAGTATCAGAATGTCCTCACTCTTTGGCATGAATCTCACATAAACATGAAGAGCGTAGTGTCCTGGCATTATCTCATCAATGAAATTGAAGGAGTTCGAGCTAGCAACGTGGCTTCAGTAAGTGTAAATGTGCACATCACCCTGGTATGTCCATGAGTGTGGGCCACTGAGTGAGGTGGAGTTGCTGTTAGTGTAAGGTGGGGCCCAGCAGACCCATAGTAATGTTAAGCGCTCAGTGAATTCCTGGTCCATGCCTGCCACGTACAAACACTTTCCAAGAATTAATGTCTTAGTCACTTTGCTCATTAGGGGAGCTACCCTGACACCTGCAACTTAGAGGAGGGGAGCTTTGTTTTGGCTGATGGCTTCAGTCTGTGGTTTGCTCCTGCCCGAGAGGAAGTCAGAGCAGAAGGACCTGGGCAGTGTGAAGTGGCTTGCGTCATGGGGGCGAGGAAGTAGAGGGGGAGGGGGGAGGCTGGGAGGCCAGTGCGTCCCTCCAGGTCAGGCCTCAGTGACGGCCTCCTGCCACCAGCAGGTCAGCTCTCTGTCCCCGACTCAGTCACCTTTGGGAAGTCCTGCTAGAGGGACATTCTTTACCTAAACCACAATCTGGAGATCACAGATTTTGTTCCATGCTTACTGAAAGGTAGAGAGATGGACATAGTGTTTAGACATACGGAACACAGGCATAGTTTGATTTCATTTCTTGAATTTCACTGACTTATCTTTTCAAAGCAGAAATTGCTAATAAAAAAGTAGAAATTTTATTGCCTAGCAAGCACAAAGGCCTGAGTTCAATCCCTGGTTCCGCACACACACACACACACACACACACACACACACACACACAGAGGAATTTTAAATGGTTCTTTATTTATGACTGTTAATGTAAGCTGGAATATTCTTTGAGATTGATCTCATTCCCTTTTAGTCCTTAATATATCTGTCTTTGTTCCTTTCTAGATAAAGACAATGTTACCTGGTGAACACCAGCAAGTTCTGAGTAATCTACAGTCCCGATTTGAAGATTTTCTGGAAGACAGCCAGGAATCCCAGATATTTTCGGGCTCAGATATAACACAGCTGGAAAAGGAAGTGAATGTATGCAAGCAGTATTATCAAGAACTTCTTAAATCTGCAGAAAGAGGTAAAATCTAGGAATGTGTTTTTCTCCCAGTGGGCGTTCAGTCCATGCTATTTTGCCCTCTGAACGGTGATCTCAGTCTTACGTGCATTGCACCACTCTGCCTGTGATGAATGACACAATTGCTGGTTCACTAGAATAACGGGGGGCTGAGGGCGTGACTCAGTGGTAGGTCCTTGGCAGGCACACACGAAGTCTGGGGTGTAATACCCAGCACTACAAAAAAGAAAAGAAAAAATTCAGAGGTAAAATATCTTATTTAGTTTGAATCTTGAACATTCAGTACATTTTTTACCTGCTTTTCGCTTTAAGTATTTATAATTTTTATAATTAACCTGCAGTATAAATTTATGAACATAAAGAACCATAGCATATTTGTTTCTTTGAACTCTATAAATCAAAACTGGTACTTCAGATGGTATGAGGGAAATTTTATGAACTCTTCTTAGCTTTTAAAGGTTATATTAAGGTCTATTACTTTAAGGTGAGTTTATGATAACAGAAACCCTTCTGAACTGTTAGTCTCACAGCTGTAACTGTAACAGTAAAGCTTCTGTTAAAACAAGAACATGAGTGTCCAAAGTGGAAAAGATGTTTTCTGATGACTGCATTTATTTTTCCAGAAGAGCAAGAGGAATCGGTTTATAACCTGTACATTTCTGAAGTTAGAAACATTAGACTTCGGTTAGAGAACTGTGAAGATCGGTTGATTAGACAGATCCGAACTCCCCTGGAAAGAGATGATTTGCATGAAAGTGTGTTCAGAATCGCAGAGCAGGAGGTGAGAGCTATGCGTGTGTTGGGAAAATACCTGAAGGTGTCGAGTCTTACTGACCTGTAATGTCTGCTCTTGTAAGTTTTTGCCTGCTCAGCTTTGCACACTGGTTACTTGGTAATCAGGTATTTATTGCTGATAGTAAACCAGGATGCTGCAGTTCACTCCCCTCCTGGCCAGGGAAACACAGGACCAGGGACCCTCCACACATCCTGCTGGCCTCACAGGCCTCGTGGCTCTGTGGCCACTCTGTGGCCAGGGCGCTGAGTTAGTTGTTGAGGTTTAAGGACATGCACAGGTGGGAATTGCATGTTCGTTTGTTCCTTGTAAAACTGGAAAGTCATTATCTTAGCTTCTTGTTGAAGAAAAAGGGAAGAATATGTAAATTGTAAAGTCAGAGGTGATAATGTAAAATGGGGTTCTAAATTAAGAAAAATACTCCATGTGGCGTGATTGCCTAATATCAACCAACCCTGGTGATCTGTGGGGTGACAGATGTCACAGCCAGTGTGCCCTCACATCCTGATTGCCTAATATCTATGGGTTTTCTTTGTTCTCTGTTGTTTAGAAACTAAGGAAAGAGCTGGAACGACTTAAAGATGATTTGGGATCCATCACAAACAAGTGCGAGGAGTTCTTCAGTCAGGCCGCCGCCTCTCCGTCCATGCCCACCTTACGATCTGAGCTCAGCGTGGTGCTTCAGAACATGAATCAAGTCCACTCCATGTCTTCCACGTACACGGAGAAGTGAGTTGCTTCTGTGTTCCTACGTAGTGTGCTTTAAAACTGTCACCTTTATATGTTGTTAATTTAAAAATTTATTTTTATGAACATAAATGTTCAGTTTTATTGTCTTAAGAGCATATTAAATATCGGAATGGATTTTTGATGCTTCTCCATGTCGGAAGAGGATGTGCCTGAGAGAGTAGTGTACAGCGTTAGTGTGAGCTTCTCTCACTTCAGTTTCACAGCTTAGTTATGGTAGCTTGCAGGTTTTTCTCTCATGTTTGTCCTAAACAAGCGGAGAAACTGTTTTATGCTAGAATCTCTTTTCTTAAATGCTAGCTAGCCCCGTCTTGGGGGTGCGGGGGGGACAACAGAGCCTGAGGATGTAGCTCATTTGTGCAGAAGCCTGGGGTTCTTCTCCCTGTATCCCCATCTTTAAGTCAGCCAAAAGGCGTCTTACAGCCAGTGGGCTCTTGGGGTGTGAGGCGGAGTGGGCCATGTCACTTGCAGTAATGGCGATTTAGGAGTGCGTTGTGCAAAAACAAACATTTAACAGCAGGAGTTATGTTTAATTTCCTTGTAAAGGTTGAAAAGAGTAAATTTGGTATTAAAGAACACTCAAGCTGCAGAAGCCCTTGTAAAACTCTATGAAACCAAACTGTGTGAAGAAGAGGCTGTTGTAGCTGACAAGAACAATATTGAGAACTTAATAAGTACTTTAAAGGTAAGCATCTTAATCGTGGGTATTTTTTAAATCGTACTCCTCCAGTATTCCCCACACTGAGCTCATCTTCAAACATAAAGCACTAGATAATCGTACTTGTACTTTCAAAGGTATTCATCCCACTTCCTGTCTGTCATTCCACAGCTTTCTGTAAATATATGCATTCACTTATTTTAATTTGAAGAATGTGCTTTTAATTTGAAGCTTCAGCCTTTTTGTCAGCAGCTCTCCATAGTTAATTCATGTTAATGACAAGAGAAAGTCAAACTAAAACTTAAGTTAATAGTAACAGAGGTGGTTATTTTTAATACACCAAGGGAGTTAAGAGTTAATCTAAGAAAGGAAATCTTGGTGATTACATGCATATGTGTCTGAATTTCTACATATAAACCACCGAATAAAACTACTGCAAAGCATTGTAAAGTTAAGTCAGTGATTTTTGAATGAATGTATTCGTCTTAAACAGTGGGATTAATAACAAATAATAGAAAAGACATTATTTAATGAGGCAACAAACTTGCTTATATCTTATTTATTGATGCACAGACTATTAGGCAAAACTTTATAAAACTTGTCAATTTTTAAAGATCAAAAGATAGAAAGATGGTCAAATATTGGCCATTTAATAAGGTTAAAGCTAATACAGTGCATGAAAGGCAGTCTTTTCTTTATCTGATTTTATAGTCATTGGCAAATAGATTATAGCATTAGGTAGAAATATATTCTCCATGACTGAGTGACACATTTTTGTAATTCTCACTGTTCCTGTATCTTAGCAATGGCGATCTGAAGTAGATGCAAAGAGAGAGGTTTTCCACGCGCTGGAGGATGAGCTGCAGAAGGCAAAAGCTGTCAGTGATGAGATGTTTAAGACTTACAAAGAACGGGACCTTGACTTTGACTGGCACAAAGAGAAAGCAGATCAGTTAGTTGAAAGGTGGCAAAATGTTCATACGCAGATTGACAACAGGTTGGTGTCCTTTTTTGTTCAGCTTAAGCACAGATTGATGTCTGTGTATACTGAAGAAAATCCACCTTATCAGGGTTTTCAAAAGTTCCACTATGTTGTTTGTGAGACTTCTACTTAGTTATATTACTTCCTTCAACAAGATACTGAAGTCCAGAGTGAGTGCGTCTCACCTCCAGGTTATGGAAACCATTGCTGTGTTCTGGCATTTGCATGGATAATCTCTTTGCCTTTTTGTAGGAAAAGTAATATATTTCTATAGTTATTATCAACTGATACTCAACTGAGTCATACACCTTTTAGCTAGGGTTCTGTGTAGCAATTAATATATTTGATCTAAGAAACATGAACTGATTCAGGTATCTTGATTGAGGGTACTAGAAAGCTGCAAGTCATTTGCTCAGTGACTGAACTAAAAAGCATAAAAGCAAGTGGACTACTTTTATGGCACGTTAGGAAAAAAATGGATTAGTATCTTTTCTCATTTGTTTTTATCTTTATATTGATATGATTTGAATGCTTTATGATATTCTTTTCTTGAGTGGCAAATTTATGTCCACACATATTATCTCGTCCTTGTAAAACATGTGACTCGTCGGTCGCGTGTATTGAGTTGAAAATCACAACAACTGGTATTCGAGCACCGCTGAACCCATGCCGAGCATTCACTGAACTGTTTTCTCATTTCAAAAATGAACTGCTGTGTGATTCAAGCCGTGGCTGTTGGAGACATAATTGATTAAACTTAGAGTGAAGTCCTACTCCTTCCCCATGTTGGCTTTTGTGCCCGGCTTTATCCCTAGAATTATCAGTACTCCTGTAAAGTGTTTGTATTCCGCTTGTAGCTTGCGTGGTCACCCCTTGGAGCCGAGCTCAGTGAAGCGCACCTACCCCACGCTGTGCCTGGAGAATCAGGGGTGGTTGCTGTCTCCCCCTTCCCCGTACCTTCTACTTCCTCGTGGATTCTGGGGGAAAGTGCAACCGTTCTGTTACTGTTGTCTTAGGTTACGAGACTTAGAGGGCATTGGGAAGTCCCTGAAGTACTACAGAGATACCAGTCATCCTTTAGATGACTGGATACAGCAGGTTGAAACCACTCAGAGAAAGATTCAGGAGAATCAGCCTGAAAACAGCAGGACCTTGGCCGCACAGCTGAATCAGCAGAAGGTATGCCAGCAGGGCTGCTCGTGCCCAGGCGCTCTCTGCGTTTGGTCAGTCATGAGCCTTATTTTTCTTTCCTGTTTTAAAACAAAAAGCAAATCTTTAGTGAAAAGTGAGTAACATATGGCCCCAAAATCCTGCCATCCAAACCTACAGATGCCACTAATTTTTGTTTCTTTGAAGTTGTTTTTAGAAGCATTGAGACTAAAGGAGAGACATGTTGGGATATTTTTTCGAGTTTCCCAGTGACCACTTGGTCGTAGGTGTGGAAATTTGTGATATTTTCCCGGCCTCAGTAGTTTTGTGGGTTTCTACATGCATTGAAATGCTGGTAGGAAATGTTAAACAGTTATATTTGGCAAACTGCTCAGTGCTTTGAGACTTTTCTTGTGTCTTCAGGAGCCAGCAGTAATTTCTAACCCTTTTCATCAGAAATGGGTGGGAGCCGTGGGCATCAGGGCTGTTCTGAGTCGTTGCTGTGGAGTTTTGTGATTTCCGCTTTGGGAGCCTCATGCGAGGGCTCCCTCCTGAGTCTTACTCTGGTGGGTCAAGGGGCTCAGGAGCTGTGCTCTTAAGGGACGTGGCTATTTCTTAGTTGCTGAGCATCTTTAAGAAGTAGACTAGCATACAATTCCTTTTCTTCTTTTAAACTGTTATAGATGCTGGTATCTGAAATAGAAATGAAGCAGAACAAAATGGATGAATGTCAAAAATACGCAGAACAGTACTCAGCTATAGTGAAGGTAAGAAGTTTCAATTTAGTCAAATTTAATACTCAGGTATGTAATACTATACTTTTAAGAACATTTCACTCTGTTGAAATATAAAAAGAGAGCATCCATATTTAAATTTACTATACACTTACCTAATAATTCTTTGTGAAAGCTGAGTCAGGTGAAAGCTCCCTAATGGGTTTAGTTTCTCTTTGTCTTCTCCACCAGTCACAGAAGTACACATGCACCCTATCAGAACACACAAAAGGCTGGTGAGATAGCTCAGCAGACTAAGTGCTTGCGTAGGCAAGGGCAGGGACCGGGGTTCGATCCCTGGCACCACATCCTGCACCGGCTCACCCCTGGGTGCACTGAGCTGGGCACCGAGCCTGGGCATGGTGGTGCACGCCTGTAATCCCAGTACTGCAGAGGCTGAAAACAGGAGGATCACTATGACTCCAAGCTGTGCAGTGAGACCCTTTACCGAATACATAAATTAAAAAAAAAGAAAATGATAGAAATGTTGAAAAGCACACACACACACAAACAAGACAACCGCCTTGCATCTCTCCTCCCTCACATCTGTACAGACCAGAGTAAACACCTCACTCCGAGCCTGCTTTTTTTTTTTTTTTTTTTTTTTTAAGACGGCATACGAGATGTTGCGGCGTGACTGGAGTTCAGACGTGTGCTCTGCACATTGCACGGCCAGCTGCATGCTGGGAGACTTATTAACCACTGTTTTTTTTTTTTTTTTTTTCTTTCACTTTTTAACGGACATTTCTCATACTTTTCAGATTTTATTAGTAATTCCTCAGGGTTCCAGACCCTCGGTTTCATTGCTGAGCCGTGGGCTAGGGGAGGCTGACTACAGCTAGGATTGTGTAATAAATGCTTTCATGAGCTTCCAAAGAGACCTATGACCTTTCCTTACCATTATGTGCATCGCTTCTTTTATCTCAGCCTTGGAAACAATTCCAAGATGAGATTGATTTCTAAAAAGGTAGTTAGGAATATTTTCTTTATTCACAATTAACGCAGTGAAACTAGGTTCCAAATCCCTGGTTTTATTCTCTGTATGAGCTTCAGGACATTGCTTTAATTGTCTCGTATTGACTTTTCCTCAGGACTATGAGTTACAAACCATGACCTACCGGGCCATGGTAGATTCGCAGCAGAAATCCCCAGTGAAACGCCGGAGAATGCAGAGCTCAGCAGATGTCATTATTCAAGAGGTAATAAAAATACCAGCGAACGGCGAGGAGTAGAAGGGAGAAACAACATCCTACAAATCAATTTTATTTTTTATTGTGGTAAAATATATATAAGATGAAATTCACTATTTAAAAATATATACCTTAGCCATGTGTGGTGGCACACACCGTAATCCCATCACTTGCTGTCTGAGGCAGCAGGATCACAGCCAGTTTGAGGCCAGCCTGGGCTACATAGTGAGTTCAAGACCAGCCTGGACTGCATTCCAAGCCCAAGCCTTTTAAAAAAAAAAAAAAAAAAAAAAAAATATATATATATATATATATATAGTTTAATGGTATTTTTGTGCATCACAGTGTTGTACAACCTTTTCCACTATTCACTTTCACTTACACAATTCTTTTTATTACCACATAACAATACATTTTATTATGTGTTTTAGAAAATCATATTACTATCAAGATGAATTCAAGATTATTTACCATTTCAGAGATAAATATTTACTTCACAATTTTAAGAGAAATATTTTGTATGGTATAGGCCGATTGCCCAGTAACCATCGATTATAGAGGAGTTGTGTGGTTTTCTCTCCCAAGCCTGGATAATACTATAATTAGTAATGAAAGTTCATTCAGCTTGTTATGGGAATTATGTTTTTGTTATTATTTTTTTACTTTTAGTTCATGGAGCTTCGGACACGATATACTTCCCTGGTCACACTCATGACACAGTACATTAAATTTGCCGGTGATTCATTAAAAAGACTGGAAGAGGAAGAGGTAACGACTGTGGGTAGTTAAATAGAAAGGAGCTGGACCTGAGGTGGGAGCTTTGATGCAGTTTGGGGAAGCAGTGACAAGTTTCATGATAAAGTGAAAAAGGAGTAATGGCCTTGGAGTTTTGTTTATTTAAAGATTTTCTCAAATAGAAAAGTATTTTTAAAATTTCACTTCAGGTGGGCTGGTGAGTAGCTCACTGGGGGAACGTTTGTTTGCTGGGTTCAGTCTTCAGCATAGAAAACAAATGCAAATTCTTTACTTAATAGCTCTAGTACAATGGCTGAGTGGTCCTACTTAAGTTAGCAATATTAGCCGTGTAGCAGAATTTTTTTTAACTTGGTCACAGTTGAGAAGTAGTTTCTCTAAAGTATTACTACTATTACAATGTCTACAGAAATACCGTATGAACCCATTTTTTTTTTGTATTTAATGAACTTACATCTTCATGGAAATTATTGTAATTTAAATATATTAAAAAGACACCAACTTAAAGCAGTGGTAGTTTGCATAAAACATGACAATTTTTTAGGTATTGTGGGGATTGGGCCTTTGTGTTTTTGCCAAAAAATACACGATTCATGATGAAAGGATTATGTAAGTATTCTAAGTTGGAGGACTTCTAAACTTTTACTCTACCTTTAAAAATTATATTCAGAAACAGATTAAGGAATTTCTTATAAAAATAAATTGTTGTGAAAGACTGTTATTTCTAATGTTAAAGGAATTACTCTCTGCTCTATTATCTTTATACGCTTTCTATTCCTTCCCTCAGAACAGACAAAAATAGTAGGCTGAATTCCACAATCAGTGAATTGTAAAATGTGAAACATCAGCATTGCATTTGGATTTTTGTTGAAATACTAAAGGTGATTATAGTTGATGTGATTCATTTCATGCAGTGAAAGCCCAGAAAAAGTACTAGATGCCTATTAGATGTTACCTTTTTTGTTTCTGAAAGTGTGAGTGCTTTTATAAACTATTTTAGTCTGTTCTGAGCTAACATCATTTTCTGACTCTAAATCACTGATGGAGCTCATAAGACTTTATAGCAAGCTTCCATTAGTGTTTAGGGAGGAAAACCAGCATACTTGTGACCATCTTAATGATCACTTCATGTAAAAGAGCATCCTTAATTTTTTAGCCTTTTTAATTTTTGAGAGGTCTTACGCCATGTTAAATGACATGCATGTCTTTAAATTTGTATATAGAGGAAAGTCCAGTCATTTCTTACTGTCTTACAGTGCATATGTGATTATACATGTAGGGGCTGCTTGGCTTCATTTTTCTGATCTAGAATTCATGATTACAGACCTTTGAAAGGTCAAAAATTTATAATGAATTGAAAATTAAAAAGTCTACTTACGGAAGATCATATGCAAAGACCAAAATGTAGTACTTTATAAACCCAGCCACTTAAGGGTCCTAGTAACACAATGGCCTAGAGAAGGTAGAGTGTTTAGACTTCAAATTTTAGGCTTGAGAGTGAGGTATTTCCAAAACCAAGTTTCATAATAAACATAAAATCAAAGGTATGTGCCAGTTAATTCTAGAAATAATACAAAATCAGAGACTATCATAGAGCACCTGGGGAAGGATATTAAATTTGATTAAGAAATTCTTTATGTTGACAACAAATTATCTATTAATTGTATAAAGAAAAATGTAGAGAAAATTTGAGATTGTTTTAATCTGAGTAAACTTGAGATCTGTAATCAAGGAAATTGGCGTTTGATCTAAATTATTTCAAGTAACTTTTCTAGCACTTGCTAAAATATTTAGAGTCACCAGGCAGTCAAAGATTATTAACAAATCACTGAAAATGACTCTTAGGTAAATATTGAGGACTCAGCCATAGATACATTTCTTCCTGAGGAAAGTAACATAATCAAAAAAAGAAAAACAAATAAAAGAGGTGCTTACAGTCTTTTACCAATAGGACTAATTTTTAAAGCAAGTTTGATAAAGAACTGGAAAATACTCTTAGAAATAATAAAAAATTTACATGTTAATATTTTAGATAGATACATCTCCATAATGTCACCAAGAGTCGACCTGACACCAAAGAAAAGGAAAGTGACGCTTGGAGCGCAGTGGGCTTTTGATTTGATTTGTTTCTGTGTGAGTTCGTAAGAAAACTGCATTTAGGTTAGCAAAGAAAATGATTGGAATTCTAGTCAAAATTATTGGAGGACAATTAATTAAAGAACTGACAACAATATATGGTCTGTAATGGTGAAGCCCTACCATTTGTTTTCATTGAAAGCTCTGAAAGGTTTGCCATCACTGGTCTAGAATACAAAGTCAACCCTGGAAATTTACTAAAGCATCTCAGTGAAGTCAGACCTGCTATCCAAAACACTTTCTCTGCTGCTGTTTAAGTTGTTGCCAGCTGCAGGGATTTTGAGTGGATGATACTAAACTTACAGCGTACTAGTAAAGTGATCGTACGTTGCCATTAGAACTGTCCGATCATGTAGTGCTGGCGGTGTGAAGTGGGTGCCTCCCTGCCGAGATGATGACATCAGAAAGCCAAAAATGCCTGTATTTTATATAATAATTGGAACTGAGTCTTGAGTATATTTAAAATAAATTTATATTTGACAAATACCCTTTTATTTGTGGGGCATCTAGAAGCACTTGGCGAGATGGAGTGATGGAAGGCATGGCACTGACCAGCTGCCGCATGTGGAGCGTGTGAGGCCCAGGTGTGCTCCCCCAGGACAAGGGCTGCCTTTGCACTAGCGCTTTTGGCATCACGGGGACAGTGTAAATACGAAATTTAACTTGAGAATTTTCGAGTTTTTATGTAATCTCCTTCCCCATGTTACAGATTATTTCTGAATTTGCCTCTCTGTTCTGAAGTTTTCCGTTTTGCTTTTTTTAACCACAAACATGGAATGTAAGCATCTTTTTAGGCGTCCTTTGGGCCAGCTACTGAGAACTGAATTCTCTTGTGTTACTTGGTGACTGAAAGCTGTGTGTGTTTCTCATGGATAGAAATCTTCTCAGAAAAGCAGGCGCACTGAGGCAAAAGTGCTGCTGTCCTCATCACCCGTTGTGTGAGTCTTAAAATTACTTAACCTCTCAGCTTCTTCATCTGTGAAAGATTGGGGTCATGCTGTGTATTTTGTAAGGTCCTTTCTTGTTACAAAAGCATGAGTTAGATAATTTTTAAAGTGAAATTATTCCTGAGAGGCAAAAGAAAAAAAGACTCCAGGAAACCCGCCCTACAGGTTTTCTGCCTTCTCCTGCTACTGACTTTCTGAAGCTTCCTCTAGAAAGAATGCGGTGCTGCTGCTGGTGGTGGTGGCGCTTGCTTGTTGGGCTCACTTGGCTCTGTGAGTATTCAGACGGACATTGCTTCAGCTGTTAGAAATTAGTTTGAACAGAATGGGTTTGACACTTTGAAAACATCTCTTGTAGATGAAAAGGTGCAAGGAGTCCTCTGAACGCGGGGCATATACAGATCTGCTTCAGCGTCAGAAGGCAACAGTGATGGAGAACAGCAAACTTACCGGAAAGATAAGTGAGTTGGAAAAGATGGTAGCTGACCTAAAGAAGCAAAAGTGTCGAGCAGAGGAAGAACTTCCAAAGATCAAGGAGGCTGCAGAAATTGAACTGAGAAAGCAGCAGAGAAATGTAGAAGACATTGCTCTGCAGAAGACAAGGGCTGAAAGTGAAGCCCAGCAGTACCGCAGGGACTTGGAGACCATAGTGAGGGAGAAGGAAGCCACGGAACAGGAGCTGGAGCGGGTGAGGCAGCTCACCTTGGAGGCGGAGGCCAAAAGAGCAGCCGTAGAGGCAAACCTCCTGAATTTCCGGAATCAGCTAGAGCAAAACACCATGACGAGAAGGACACTGGAAGACCATCTCAAAAGGAAAGACTCCAATCTGAATGATTTGGAGCAACAGAAAAGTAAGTTAATGGAAGAATTAAGAAGAAAGAAAGACAGTGAGGAAGAACTCTTGAAGATGGTAAAGCAGATGGAAAGAGATCTTGCATTTCAGAGACAGGTTGCAGAGAAGCAGTTAAAGGAAAAGCAAAAAGTTGAATTGGAAGCAAGAAGAAAAATAAATGAAATTCAGTATTCATATAGAGAAAGTACACTGCCCACACAGGCTTTGTCTTGTATGGGAATAGGAGGTCTTCAGAAAGAACATGACAGACAGAAGGCGGAGGAACTCAGACAGCAAGTGGATGAGCTGACTCTCGCCAATAGAAAGGCTGAGAGGGACATGAGAGAGCTGAAGTACGAGCTTAATGCCCTCCAGCTGGAGAAGACTTCATCTGAGGAGAAGGCGCGTTTGCTGAAAGATAAACTGGATGAAACAAATACTGCACTAAGTTGTCTCAGGTTGGAGTTGGAAAGGAAGCATCAGGTAGAGGAGGGGTATTCTCAGCAGCTTAGGGAACTTAGCAGACAGCTGAGCCAAACCACACATAAAGCAGAAGAAATCAAGCAAGAAGCAGATGACCTCAGGAAAATAAAGCACACGTATCAGTTAGAATTAGAATCTCTCCATCAGGAGAAAGGGAAGCTACAAAGAGAAGTAGACAGAATCACCAGGGCACGTGCTGTGGCCGAGAGAGACATCCAGCGTTTAAATTCTCAAGTTGATTCTGTTCAGGATGAGAAGGGATTCTCCAGTGAAAGAGCAAAACTGTGCCAGAGAAAATCAGATCATCTGAAAGAACAGTTTGAGAAAAGCCACGAGCAGTTGCTTCAAAATATTAAAGCCGAAAAGGAAAATAATGATAAAATTCAGAGGCTTAATGAAGAATTAGAAAAAAGTAATGAGTGTGCAGAAGAGTTGAAGCAAAAGGTTGATGAGCTCACCAGGCAGAATAATGAAACCAAGCTGATGATGCAGAGAATTCAGGCAGAGTCAAAGAACGTAGTCTTAAAGAAACAGGCCATCCAGCACAGATGCGAAGTGCTGAAAAGCCAGGCTGATGGTTTTAAGGATCAGTTGCGGAATACAAATGAACACTTACATAAGCAGACAAAAGCAGAACAGGATTTCCACAGAAAAATTAAAAGCCTAGAAGAAGACCTGGCCAAAAGTCAGAAATTAGTAAGTGAATTTAAGCACAAGTGTGACCAGCAGAACATTATCATCCAGAATACTGAGAAAGAGGTTAGAAATCTGAGTGCTGAACTGAACGCTTCTAAAGAGGAAAAGCGTCGTGGGGAGCAGAAAGTTCAGCTGCAGCAAGCTCAAGTGCAAGAGTTAAATAACAGGTTAAAAAAGGTGCAAGATGAACTGCACCTAAAGACCATTGAAGAGCAGATGACCCACAGAAAGATGGTTCTGTTCCAGGAGGAGTCTGATAAATTCAAACGTTCAGCAGAAGAGTTTCGGAAAAAAATGGAGAAGTTAATGGAGTCCAAGGTCGTCACTGAAAATGATATCTCAGGTATTAAACATGACTTTGCATCTCTGCAACAAGAAAACTGCAGGGCTCAAGAGAATGCTAAGCTTTGTGAGACAAATATTAAAGAACTCGAAAGACAGCTCCGACAATACCGTGAGCAAATGCAACAAGGACAGCATGTAGAAGCAAATCATTACCAGAAATGCCAGAAACTGGAAGGCGAGCTGGTAGCCCAGAAGAGTGAAGTCGAAAAACTGAAGCAGAAGATGGACCAGCAGATAAAGGAGCATGAACATCAGTTAGTTTTGCTCCAGTGTGAAATCCAAAAAAAGAACATTGGCAAAGACTGTACCTGCACACCAGACTTTGAGGTGACCGTAAAGGAGCGTCAGTGTTCTGGAGAGCTCCCCTCTAGGAGCACTGGACCCCTTCATCCAAGTGCAGGGTCCCCGCTACTCAGATGGCCTCAGGAGCCACAGCAGGGAGGGCAGGTTTGTGAACAGATGCCAAAGGAAGTCCAGTTCCAGCTGCCAGGGGCTCCACTCGAGAGAGAAAAAAGCCAGCAGTGTTATTCAGAGTATTTTACTCAGACAAGCACCGAGTTACAAATAACTTTTGATGAGGCAAACCCTATTACAAGACTATCAGAAATAGAGAAGCTAAGAGGTCAAGCTCTGCACAGCTCCAGCCTACCTGTTAGGTACCAAGATGACAAACAGGAGATGGAGCTGGTGAAGCTTTTGACCCCCTTGGAGGTATACTCTGTTCTGAGCCCTTACCAGCTATCACTGATGAATTTCTTCTTTAATTCTTTGATCTCCTCTATGAAATTTTTAACTATTTTGAGTATGTTGGACTCTCTACTTCAGAGAGGACTATGATAATGTAGCTTTTAGTGACTTACTTGAATCTTTACTATAAATTCTCCTTTTATGTATGAATGAGATGAAATGCAGCTCTAACGAGTATACTGTTATATCTGTGGAAAAGTATTTTTGAAAACTGTGATTTTAAAAAAAAGCTAGAAGAACCAAGCAGTTAATTTTCACCATATTCTGTGACCTGATTTCATCTCGGTCATGCTATTTAAATATATTTAACTTCAGGCTTTTAAAATAATGTTACACCTGAATTTTTTCTTTTCTTTGTTATCTTAATGGTTAGAGGAGTTGTGTTTGGATTGAGAATGGGGTAAGTGACATAGATTCTTTAGGTGACTTTTAACATCTTGCAAATTGCTGTTGCAGATAGTTAAGAATAAGCAGTATGATATGCATGCAGAAGTCACATCATTAAAACAAGAAAAAAGCCCAGTTCCCAGTACTGAAGAATGGATGCTGAAAGGGTGCAGAGCCTCTGGTGGAGCTGGGAGAGAGTCTCTAAAGAAAGACTCCAAAGCAGAGAGCTCCCAGCACACGGATGGCAGTCACGTGTGTCCAGTGAGGGATGAAGAGTTCGCGTTCCAGGGGCTCAGGCACTCTGTGACTGCCAGGCAGTTGTTTGAAGCCAAGCTTCTGGACGTGAGAACCATCGAGCAGCTGCGACTTGGCCTGAAGACTGTTGAAGAAGTTCAGAAAAGTCTCAGCAAGTTTTTGACAAAAGCCACCTCAATTGCAGGGCTTTATCTAGAATCTACAAAAGAAAAGATTTCATTTGTGTCAGCAGCCAACAAAATCATAATAGACAAAGCGATGGCTTTAGCCTTTTTAGAAGCCCAGGCTGCAACAGGTTTTATAATCGATCCCATTTCCGGTCAGACGTTTTCCGTTGAAGATGCAGTTCTCAAAGGGGTGGTTGACCCCGAATTCAGAATTAGACTCCTTGAGGCAGAGAAGGCAGCCCTGGGCTATTCCTATTCGTCCAAGACATTTTCAGTATTCCAAGCCATGGAAAATAGAATGCTTGACAGACAGAAAGGTAAACATATTCTGGAGGCCCAGATTGCCAGTGGGGGTGTCATCGACCCTGTGAGAGGAATCCGTGTCCCTCCAGAAATTGCTCTACAGCTGGGCTTATTAAATAATGCCATCTTGCAGTTTTTGCATGAGCCATCCAGTAATAGTAGAGTTTTTCCTAATCCAAATAACAAGCAAGCTCTGTATTACTCGGAACTGTTACAAATGTGTGTCTTTGACGTAGATTGCCAGTGCTTTCTGTTGCCCTTTGGGGAAAGGGACATTTCCAATCTCAGTGTAGTGAAAACCCATAAAATTTCTGTGGTCGATACTAAAACAGGAGCAGAACTGAGTGCGTATGAGGCTTACCAGAGAAACCTAATTGACAAAAGCATTTATCTGGAGCTTTCAGGACAGCAGTATCAGTGGAAGGAAGCCACGTTTTTTGGATCCTATGGGCAGCCTTCTCATATACTGATAGACACCAAGACAGGGTTACAGTTTAATATTAATGACGCTCAGGAGCAGGGAACAATTGACAAAGTTTTGGTCAAAAAATATCAGGAAGGCCTCATCACACTTACAGAGCTTGCTGATTCTTTGCTGAGCCGATTAGTTCCCAAGAAGGATTTGCATAGTCCTGTTGCAGGCTACTGGCTGACGTCAAGTGGGGAAAGGATCTCCTTACTAAAGGCCTCCCGAAGAAATCTGGTGGACCGGATCACTGCCCTCCGATGCTTGGAGGCCCAAGTCAGTACAGGGGGGATCATTGATCCGCTAACTGGCAAGAAGCACAGGGTGGCTGAAGCTCTGCATATGGGCCTAGTTGACGAGGGCTTCGCCCAGCAGCTGCGACAGTGTGAGCTAGTGGTTACAGGGATTAGCCACCCTGTCACCAACAAAACGATGTCAGTAGTGGAAGCCATAAATGCCAATATCATCAGTAAGGACCTGGGACTCCGATGCCTGGAATTCCAGTACCTGACGGGGGGCTTAATAGAGCCCCAGGCTCACACTCGGTTGTCAGTGGAAGAGGCTCTCCAAGTAGGTATCATAGATGTGCTCATAGCTACCAGACTCAAAGATCAAAAGTCACACATGAGAAACATAATATGCCCCCAGACCAAAAGGAAGCTGACTTACAGGGAAGCCTTAGAAAAAGCTGACTTTGATTTCCACACTGGACTTAAGCTGATAGAAGTGTCTGAACCTCTGGTGACAGGAATTTCTAGCCTCTACTATTCTTCCTAATGGGACATGTTTAAAGAACCGTGAAAGGGGCCAAGCTGGCTAATGCGTGCCATCTGATCAGAGCCGGCAGAGCTACTGAACGCGTGGCCTGGGAATTATGCAAATGACTCAGGTTCAAAGTAGATCATTGTTCAGAAGACATAGTAATTTTTAATTGAAAATAACAAAAGCATTGCCGCCCTTAAAATGGCTCCATTTAGCTTTGAGAATAATTGTTTTGAATCTTACCCACACTGAAACAAACATGTTTGCTGGCTGTCATGGTGCACACCTGTAATCCTAGCACTCGGGAGGCCAAGGTCAGAAGAAAACCCCAAGTTCAAAGCCAGGCTGAACTACATGGTGCGACCGTCTCAAATAAAAATAACATAAATCACGTTTGACTACAGTGTGGAATGAGCTTGGTGAATGTCAGTGAGTTCGTGGCGTCATTTCTTCAGACCCCGCTTTCCTGCACAGATCTGGCCCAGGGTGTGTGTTCCCGTCCCTGAAGGGTATGCTTGCTGAGGGAGCACCGCACAGCGCGCCGTGGAGTGAGAGGAAACCATGGGGTCTGTTCCCTCATCTCTGAGCTGCAGTGTCTGTCCTGCTTCAGAAACATAAAAAGTTCTATTTTTTTGTGTGTAATAATTTGCTTCACATATTAAAAATTCATCATAAAATTTCTTGTTTCTAGTTGAGACTTTGAAATTAAACCTAACATTCTGACCGTATTGTACATTAGGGGAGGAGAAGGATTTTTTCCTGGCTCTGTTCATCTGCCTGTGCCTCGACATGCTGTTTTCCCTTGCCTGATGCTTCTCTGTCCAGACAATCCAGATTGTAGTGCTAATGCAAAGGCAGTCATCTAAGCAGTGCCTCAGAAATAAAGTCGAGTTCCTTTATTTGTCATAGTCATGTAACTGCTGGGAGATTAGACCAGTGATGAAAGATTGTTTTTCCTGGCTTTCTTTGCTACTATACATACTTTGGAAATGCATCTGCTGTGTGACATCATCCCCATCATAAACATGATGAAGTGAATGAATAAAATATCTCAGTAACCTGTGTGTGATGGAAAAACGTTGTTGCATTTTTGTTTTTAATGGCGAGATCACTTTAATAGCTTAGTCATTTACTGGACTGTGTATTTTTTTTTTTTTTTAAACCAACTCACACCTGTCAGAAATCACTGGAAGAAGAAAAGAAAGAGCATGTCGAAAAAGCCAAAGAATTGCAGAAATGGGTATCAAATATCAGCAAGACACTGAGAGATGGTGAGAAGGCTGGAAAATCTCCCTTCTCTAAGCAAAAGGTATTCACAGAAGTCCTGGTTAATAATGGTAGAATTTACTGAGTTGTTAAGAATCTACCTAGCACAATGTTAAATTCTTTACCATAATTTTTATAGGTAGTTATTACAAAAGCCAGAGAGGTAGACAACTTGCCCAAAGAAGCACAGGGAGTGTGTGGCAGAAAGTGCCCCTGATTCCACAGTCTGAACTGTGGGTGAACTTTGCGGCTAGCACGCTGTTGGTACTGCTTTCCCTGGAGGGCAGCTCCCTGCCTGTGCCGTGGCAGGAATCCCTGAGAAGCAGTCACTCTGTTGTCCGAGTGGAATAGCCCGTGTGCTGATACATACTTTCCCTCTTACGGATGGAAACAGAAAAACGAAGAACAGTGCAACTACAAGTTAGGACATTAACATTTTGGAGTAATAACTTCAAATGTGCTTTTCTGGATCATTATTATTTTGTAAATCTCTGCAGTCCATCAGGAGAAAGGTTAGGTTCTTCTCCTTACCCACTGGGTTCTTGAGTCCTGAGGGCTGTTTTGGTTCCCAACTACTCTGCATTAGTTGGGTGACAACAGCTGTGTGTGCTGTCACTGCTCTGTGATGTCTTTGGGCTACAACTCTGGAGCGTCTCAGGACATTGGTAGTTAGGATCTGCTTCTGATAGTGATGCTCCTGATGGGAGAAATTGCTGCTGTATTTAAGGGAAAAAAATTCCATCAAGACAAAGCCACTCCCCCGGCACCCTGAGAAATAAATGCTTTTCTGACACTTTCCTCCTATCCCCGCCTGATATTTGGAAATTTCAGAGGCTGTCATACGTAGGCCCTTTTGTAGCTCTGCCTCAGTGTCGCTTGCCAGCAGTTAAGCCTGACATGATTGACACGATTAAACAGGTATTCCTGTCTCTGATTTTTGTCTATAACACACCTTTCCTCAAGTTCTCTTGGAGAAGCTTATAGACCTAGTTATATTCTTGAAATATTATTCAAATGAGATAAAGCTATATTCTCAGTCTTAATATGTAGTGTGGAAGAAGGGAGAAATTTGAAAGCTACATTTGGTATTTTGAATTCAAAAAATTCTAAGTAATTTAATGCCAATATTTAATTTAAAACATCTTCCTCTTTCTGTATCAAAGAGGAAGATAACTAAAAATTGCCATATGCTACTTAGCAAAGATTTCTTGCGAGAATAAGTTTCTTTTCAGAAACATGGATTGTCAACTCTTGGCAGCTTCACATTATGTAGCTGCAAATCCTCCAAAGCAGTACTAACTCAGATTTAGACCTGAGACACACAAAATGAGACAAGTATTCTTTGATGCACATGACTTTAATTATAACTCTCCGAAGAATGCAAAAATTGAGGCAGTTGTATAAATTTGCTGTATATAAATAAATCATCCCAAATTCCCAATAGTCTTATGTTACTTGTAACCATGAAAACTAGACTTTAAGTTGGTTCTCAGTACTATACATAGGGATGTGTTATCACGGGCCCATTGTTTCCACTCCTTTCTGCTCATTCAAGATTACGGCAACTCCTGATTCACAGGTTCAGAAATGATACACCGAGGCTTAGGAGAAAGTGCTGTTACAGCCTCTTGCTTTTCCCCAACACGTCAGTTTTCTTCTCTGCTCCAAAGTGCCCTTCATAAGCGAGGGTCTTAGCGCTGTTTAATTTTGATCTGCAGATTGTAGAATAATACTTTCACCATGATTGTCTTTTAAAGGAGCATTGCACTTAGGAGCTTGGAGAAACAGGTACTCTTTGGAGATGGTATGCTACATTTACAGATGTTTTTGTGTAGTTTGATATACAAGGCTGATGTTGGGCCTGGCTAAAGTCTGGCCCCCTAGGGACTAAGACCACATTAGTCATGACTGGGCTGAGACAGTGGCAAGCACACAAACAGTGTTGAATTGTTAGTTGCTCAGTTGGTCAAGCAATGGCCCTGACTCATCCACATAGCTGACACGAATAAAGGATCTCCAAACTGAGGTACAGGATCTCAGGATAAATCCTGAGGGAATTTCACTGACCTTATCAGACCCAAAAGCTACAACTCTTGTTACATAGGTCCTGCTTTACCTTGGTCTTAACCATCCAGCAGAAAAGTATAAAAGCAAAGTATAAGAAGTAAAACTATGTTGTTATGTTAAGCTGTAGGGGACTCAGGTCAGCAACTTCTGACATTGCCAGTCATGTGGAAGACCCAATACTATTATGGACTACTGGACTATTTTGGAATATTTTGCTGAGTTCACACACCTATGATATTTAAATGATGGAACTAAACAAAAAAAAAAAGGGGGATACAGATGAATGACCATTTAGTATCTGTGTATTCAAAATGGTTAGGATAGATATATAGCCACATTCTCTTTATTCAATGAATAGAGGGTTTTGTTCTAATAGTGTTTGTAAATAGGATATCATGTCTGCATTTTGTATAACAAATAACCACTAGGTAGACAGTATGCAATGTGTTAATTATTGAAACTGTCCTATTAATGTGAAAGAAAAGAATTATTAGTTGTTCATGAAAACAGTGGCATTAAGGGTAGAGTGCTGCCTCTCACATTAATGCATTGGAAGTAAAGCACTCTTCTTATTCAGGCTAGTACCTGCTACTTACTGATAGGTTATTAATCTAAGTCATCAAAAAAGTAGACCCATCATTTGAGTCTTGATCAAAACTTGACTAAAACCTGAAGTCCCTTCTTTGCCTTGCAGATTTCCAGTGAGGAATTATCAACCAAGAAGGAACAGTTATCTGAAGCACTTCAGACCATGCAGCTGTTTTTGGCTAAACATGGAAACAAGTACGTTGATTGATCAGAATTAGGGATGTGCTCCTAGAAATGGTCAGCAAAACAGAAGGCAGTAAATTTTAATTGAGATTATAAAAATGGAATTGTAATTGCAATTACTATAATGTATATAAACTTAATAATGTTGTACTAGTCTTCAGGGCAACTTAAAAATGTTCCTTTTATCCACATATATCACTGAAGAGCAATCAGTCTCTGAGAGGTGAAAAAGTAGTGGCTAGTGAGTGGCAGAGGTGAGACCCAAGGCCGGTCACCACACCCAAGTAGTGCTCTGTGAGACTGCCTCGTGCCACACGTGTGCAACTGTGTGTCTCATCTTCTGGCTGTAGCTTTTTATACTGTGTTTCGGTCCTGTGTTGTTTTTTTTTTTTTTTTTTTTTGAAACACTGTGTATTTCAAACAGTGACTTGGGGAAGTAGCACATGTATCTTATACCCTTTTTGAACACCCTCATTAGGATTGTTCCAGAATGGATTTGGATTGTAGTTTAGGGAACCTGTTGATTTCCTTGTAAGTGTCTGTTTAGTC